TTCTTTTTCTAAATAAACAGGATTTGTCTAATATTTTTTTAAAATGACGTGTATATAAATACATTTCCTACGGAATATGTAAAAAAAAATGTGATTTACTATTAATTTTTTATCAGACAGAATATTAGGAGATTTTGTTCCAACAGACGATGATAAAGCATGTTTTACAATATGCCGAGCCTTTTCCCGCCGGTTCTCACACCAAAACAAGAACGAGAAGAAATGAAGTGGCGGATCTAAGTAGTATAGAGTGAGACTTTTTATGCTAATTTGAGGTGCAAACTGATCTGAGGTGGAGAGGTGGGCTCTAAAGGCGGAAGTATAAAGCAAATCCGGATGCTAATAATGACTATATAGGGAAGCAAACCCGGATGATTTTTACTTATGATTAGCTAATACACATACGTTTAGTCCTATGAATATATTTAATGTTATGACGACTTGAAACTTACTATGACAATAGTGTATTAGGATCCTAAATTGTGTGAATTAGACGTATATATTGCTTTGATTCATAAAACTGGGTTTGATAAGAACGGTTTGTCCTATACAAACAAATGAGACGAGAAATTTTAAACATGTGGCCTGAGTTTTTTTAATAAAACCTTGAAAAATGATAAACAAGTTGAAAATGAAACCTCTGATTGTTCAAGAACTAGTCATTTAATAAATTGAAGAGAAGAAATAAAAAAAGAGACACGGAGAAGTGGGAAACTACTATAACAATCACTGATTTATTGAAATGAGAAGTATATAACCTTTTTTTCATCAAAGTATTTTTTTTTATACGAACGGTTTCTTTTTAGTGTTAAGACCATACAAATGAAACGAGAAATTTTAATTATATGAGGCCTAATTTTGAGTCAAGACAAACGTCTATTACAAGATCTTAAATCATGATGAACATGCTGAAGTGAAACCTCTATTTGCTTAAGAAATAGCCATTTAATAAATTTTAGAGAAGAAATATTCAAATAAAAAGACACGGAAAAATTGGATTTGGAGAGATATAAACTAATACTAAACAGTATTCAACTCTGCCATCATGAGAGACACAAAATTTGACGAATTATATTTATGTATCAAAGTATATTAAAGTGAACTGGGAAGGTCAGTGGAGGAAGAACATTACAACTACCACCGCCGAGATTATTAACATGATTGGAGAGTAGTAAATACGAAAAATTGCAACTGGACAAAGAAAAAAAAGTTGACTTGATTCACAAGTTAGTCAAATTTAAAATCATGTAGTCAAATATGTTTAAGGATTTGTATTTACAAATAAATTTCCTTTACTCAGATCCGTTGTTATTTTCCGAAGTAAAGCTATTCCGGTACTGCATTATAACATATTACACAAACAAGGATCAGTTAGTTGTCAGTTTCCGTTAATAATGATATATACATGTAATTTAAAATATTAAATGAGCAGAAACACATAAGAAGAGAAACTAGTGATACAGAAGTTACTTGGTTATATATATAACGAACGTTAAAATATGTTGAAACAAATTCGGAGAACAAATGTTATTAACAAATTTTAGCGATGGAGCATCCTTGTCCTCACTGCAACAAGACGTTTAGCAGTGAATTTGCAAGAAAACGTCATTTGGACATACATTCAAACAAAGTGAAATTGAAATGTAATTTTTGTGGAAAAGAAGTAAATCGAAAAGACAATTTCGAACGTCATTTGAAGAGATGTGAGAAGAGTAAAACGTGTTCCCATTGCGAGAAATGTTTCAAAACTTCCATTCAACGACGTATCCATATACTTAAAGAACACAGGGATAAGTTGTTGAAGTGTGAAAGGTGCAAAAAAGAATACTTGTGTGAAAAGACTCTTCAGCAACATCTAGGAAGATGCAAGGTATGACTTATTTACAAAAATTAAAACACGGAAGTGCGATCGTGTTTAAGAATATTCTTAAATATGCACGACTAAAAAACGATGGGGTTGTCCAAATAATAGCTTCATATTTCATAAATGTGGTAATTCTAAACTGGCAAAGAATATTTACGATTCTTGGTTTTAGACATAAAAATCAAGATAGTTAATTTATTCATTTAAAAAAGGCATATTACACTCTTTTTGTTGTTCTTTTTTATTTTACAATAAGAGAAAAATTACTTTTAATTGACTTTAAACCTATTAATACCGTACTTCAAAAAGGAAGCAATAATGACAAAGACAGAACGAGAGAGGAACTCTGACATTTTAACAAGTGTCATAAACAATCTAACAATTGTGACTATAAATTCTAGAAATGAATTAAATACGTAAAATATTTTTTATCAATATGGCGATTATATAGTTAGGAACAAATATAATCAATTTTCTAGTAAATGAAATCAGACAAACGATCGGAGAAAATCTGAATCAAACACAATATTCTTAAACATGTACATCTAAAATTTTAATTATATCCCCACCCTCTTTTATTCCCAAAGTAAAAGCTATTGAATGTTTTTTTTTTGTGTAACAGAAATATCAAGATATTTTAGCAGCTAGTTATAGATCTGATGAAATTCAACATGAGGTATTTATTAAGTTAAAATCTTTATATTTGATATTAAAGAAAACAATTTCAAATAATTCTCTATGCTTGTATAAGAAGAAAACCAATTATGATAATTAAGTATTCATTGATTTATTTTAAAACAGAATAATCAAGATCTTCCGGGACCTAGTAAGAGATCTGATGAAACTCAACATGAGGTATTTATTAATATAAAACACATGCTATTTGTAATTTAAGAAAATAATTTCAAATAATTCCTTATGCTTATACACGAAGAAATCTTTAATGATTATTTTTTTATCTTTCGAAATTAATCAAAATTTAGAGGATTCATTTGATATCTTTAACAGAGTTATCAAGATATTCCGGGACCTAGTAACAGATCTGATGAAATGCAGAATGAGGTATATCTATTAACATGAATAATTTACAGAGAATTTTAAATGATTATTTTTTATTACAAAACAATTAAAACAAAATGGATTCAAAAATTCACTGAAAATCAAAATACAGTGCTGATTTCATTAAAAAAAATGATTTCAATGATGACTGCGTATTTTTTTTTTTTCATTTTCCAATTTGTTTATCTTAAACAATAAAAATAATTCAAGTTTTTTGCTTGTATTTCAGGAACCCGTTGAGAGATATACATGTAGAACTTGTCATCTCAGATTTGATTCGCGTCGTAATCTCTTTGTTCATCAGATGAACGAACATTTTCAAGTGGGAGAGGGACAGTTGCAGGCCAGACCATGGGGAAATGGATCCCCTCCTTGGGAAGAAGGTGGGATAGTCGACCACAACCTAAAAGAAGTTTATGAAACGAATGCCCCAATTATATTACGACGTCATCAACAGGGGACTGTTTGTAGTATTTATAACTTTCCCATAGATAATCAGTTTTCTGTTGGAGAAATAATGCAAGCAGCCAATGAAATATACGATCGTCAAAATAGAGCTTTCAGATTAAATTTATAATTTGGTCTCATATTGGTTAACAGCGAAACAAGATAATTTAGATATTTTAAACCCCATCATAATCAGGAAGTTTTTCAGAGACCCATTTACGTGTCGCGGCGCGAACATTTAAAACGTTTGCAGCAGCGAATGCAACGACTTAACATTACTGATTACATACTACGTCAACGCCCCGACACAAAATGGAAACCTTATTTAATAACCAATGTTCGCATTGTCATATATCACTTGAATTTTGTTTTGGGAAATGCGGAAGTAATTTTACCTCCTCACATTAGTCAATCAAAATCTATTATAAAGCTGACCAAGGACAGGAATGGTCAAGGATATACAGATAATCTCTGTGCGTTCCGCTGTTTAGCGGTTCATCAAGAGTATTATCCCTCGGGCTTAGAATCTCGCACAAATATTTTATTTCAACATTGGGTCTCATTTCAAAAAGCTCACCAAAGAGAAGTGGATTCGAATCCTAAAACATTCCCGGGTATCACTTTGAACGAAATAATCTATTTTGAAAAATGCTTCAAAATCAATGTAAATGTCTTTTCATTGAATGAAAGTCAATTGGCACAGTCTATCTACAAATCCATGTGTAAATTTTCGGACACCATTTATTTAAATCTTTACGAGCACCATCTGTCTTACATCTCGAATTTTAATGCTTATGCCAAAAAATTTCTGTGCAAAACATGTCGTCGCCATTTCAATCATCTGAAAAATATGAAACGACATCAGCGTGTTTGTTCGGGAAAAACAAAGAGAAGATTTCAGGGAGGGTTTCATTATTCTCAAAATACTGTGTTTGATAAATTAAACCAATTTGGCATAAGTGTTCCCGAAAACGAAAGAATTTTCGAGTGGTTTCTAGTGTATGACTTTGAGTCCATGCTGGTTCCCATGAACACAGAAAGTTCTGGTTCTCAGCAATATACAGACACCCATGTACCTATCTCTGTTAGTATATGTTCTAACGTAGATGAGTACACCAAACCACATTGTATCATTGAACCAGATATCAACACACTAGTGAAGAACATGGTTCAGTGCATGACAATGATAGCTAATAGGGCTGCTGAACAAGCAAAAGAAAAATTTGCCTACGTGTTCGAGGCACTCGATAGCTCTGTGTTTGATGAAAATATGGATGAGAACATGGCCGAGTAACTCGAACATGAAGACGATGTCCAAAAAATGATGGATAAGGAAAAACAATACGCGGAAGAACTAAGGTTGGAAATGGAAGAATATTGCGAGCAGATCATTTGTATCGGCTTCAATTCTGCAAAATATGACATCAATTTGATCAAAAGCTATCTCATCAAACATCTCGAGCTAGATTCGACAAATGGCACATTCACCGTCAAGAGAAATAATGCTTATGCCTGCATAAGTACTCGTAAGTTTAAATTTTTAGATATTACACAGTATCTGAGTCCCGGCATCAATTATGCAGGGTTCTTGCGTGCTTTCGATGTTCAAGAATGTAAAGGTTTTTTTCCCTACCAATTTCTAGACTCTGTTGAAAAATTAAATTACCCTGAACTTCCTCCACACGAAGCTTTTTATTCGTCTTTGAAAGATTCAAATATAACGATCGAAGAATACTCCTTTTGTAAGAACGTGTGGGAGGAAAAAAATATGACATCGTTTCGAGATTTTCTGGTCTGGTATAACAACCTCGACGTCGAACCTTTCGTGCAGGCCGTGACAAATCTACAAAAGTACTATTTCGAACGAAACATTGACATCTTTAAATGTAGTATTTCGGTTCCTGGTCTTGCGCGTCGAATGTTGTTTGAAAGTGGTAGAAAGGAGGGGGCCAGTTTTGCATTGATCGATCAAGCCAACGAAGACTTGTATGATACCATTAAGCAAAATATCATCGGGGGACCTAGTATTATTTTCAAGCGTTTCCACGAAGTCGGGAAGTCTTTTATTCGAAGAAATTCCCAGAAACCGTGTGGTAAGATCATTGGTTTTGATGCCAATGCTCTGTATCTACACTGTATAGGCAAAGAAATGCCTGTGGGTGCTTTTGTGCGTCGTAAGATAGACGACGGGTTTAAGGCACAAAGGCGTGATCGATACACGCTCGCTTATGACTGGTTAGAGTGGTTGAACCACAACGGTCAGTACCATATTGTACACAAGTTAAATTCCGGAAAGGAAAAGAAAATAGGTCGCTTTCCGGTCAACGGCTATGACGAAGCTACAAACACCGTGTTTCAGTTTCAAGGTTGTTATTGGCACGGCCACCGTTGTTGGTTGACGCGTCATGTTCAAGACGACAAGTTAATGAAAAGTCGTGAAGAGAAGACGCGCAAGACAACCACCTATCTGAAGAGACAAGGATACAAGGTTATAGAGATGCGAGAATGTATTTTTCGTAATAATATGCGCACTAATTTGCGATTGAAAAAATTTACAGATTCTCGCAAGCCCAAAATGAGTCGAGGTCAAATGTCCCCGGAAGACATCATTGTTGCTGTGATGACTGAAAAATTATTTGGTATGGTCGAGTGCGACATTCGCGTACCAGATACCTGGCCTGCTCATTTCAGTCATCCAACAATGACCCCTTATGAGTATTTCTCAGAAATGAGCCCTCTCTTTTGTACCACTGACATTCCCTTTGATGCGATAGGTCATCATATGCAAAATCATGCAAAGCGCTTTCACCTTTCTACAAAACCTAGACGTTATTAGTAGGGGGGATGCGCGCGCGACAGTTGTTAATCGCGACTCCATTACTTAAGTGGTATATAAGTCATGGTCTGGAAATCACAAAAATATATCAAACCGTGGAATTTACACCACAACGATGTTTTCAGTCTTTTGTAAGTGACGTCAGTAATGCTCGGCGTCAGGGTGATATAGATCCTTCTAAAGCTATTATTGCAGACACGCGTAAATTAGAAGGTAATAGTGCTTTTGGATCCACCATCATGGATCAAGAAAAATTTCAGAGCGTCAAATATGTTCGAGGGGAAGGGAATGCCATGATTGAAATAAATGAGCCTCAGTTTAAAAAATTGACAACTTTAATAAAAGACGAGGAATTGTACGAAATAGAAAGAAGTAAAAAAGTTTTAAACTTAAACTTGCCCATTCAGATCGGTTACTTCATCTTGCAGTATGCAAAACTGCACATGTTACAATTCTATTATGACTTCATGGATAGATTTGTAGACCGTGCAGACTTTGAATACTGCGAGATGAAGTAACCGATCTGAATGGGCAAGTTTAAGTTTAAAACTTTTTTACTTCTTTCTATTTCGTACAATTCCTCGTCTTTTATTAAAGTTGTCAATTTTTTAAACTGAGGCTCATTTATTTCAATCATGGCATTCCCTTCCCCTCGAACATATTTGACGCTCTGAAATTTTTCTTGATCCATGATGGTGGATCCAAAAGCACTATTACCTTCTAATTTACGCGTGTCTGCAATAATAGCTTTAGAAGGATCTATATCACCCTGACGCCGAGCATTACTGACGTCACTTACAAAAGACTGAAAACATCGTTGTGGTGTAAATTCCACGGTTTGATATATTTTTGTGATTTCCAGACCATGACTTATATACCACTTAAGTAATGGAGTCGCGATTAACAACTGTCGCGCGCGCATCCCCCCTACTAATAACGTCTAGGTTTTGTAGAAAGGTGAAAGCGCTTTGCATGATTTTGCATATGCTGACCTATCGCATCAAAGGGAATGTCAGTGGTACAAAAGAGAGGGCTCATTTCTGAGAAATACTCATAAGGGGTCATTGTTAGATGACTGAAATGAGCAGGCCAGGTATCTGGTACACGAATGTCGCACTCTACCATGCCAAATAACTTTTCAGTCATCACGGCAACAATGATGTCTTCAGAGGACATTTGACCTTGACTCATATTGGGCTTACGAGAATCTGTGAATTTTTTCAATCGCAAATTAGAGCGAATATTATTACGAAAATTACATTCTCGCATCTCTATAACCTTGTATCCTTGTCTCTTCAGATAGGTGGTTGTCTTGCGCGTCTTCTCTTCACGACTTTTCATTAACTTGTCGTCTTGAACATGACGCGTCAACCAACAACGGTGGCCGTGCCAATAACAACCTTGAAACTGAAACACGGTGTTTGTAGCTTCGTCATAGCCGTCGACCGGAAAGCGAGCTATTTTCTTTTCCTTTCCGGAATTTAATTTGTGTACAATATGGTACTGACCGTTGTGGTTCAACCACTCTAACCAGTCATAAGCGAGCGTGTATCGATCACGCCTTTGTGCCTTAAACCCGTCGTCTATCTTACGACGCACAAAAGCACCCACAGGCATTTCTTTGCCTATACAGTGTAGATACAGAGCATTGGCATCAAAACCAATGATCTTACCACACGGTTTCTGGGAATTTCTTCGAATAAAAGACTTCCCGACTTCGTGGAAACGCTTGAAAATAATACTAGGTCCCCCGATGATATTTTGCTTAATGGTATCATACAAGTCTTCGTTGGCTTGATCGATCAATGCAAAACTGGCCCCCTCCTTTCTACCACTTTCAAACAACATTCGACGCGCAAGACCAGGAACCGAAATACTACATTTAAAGATGTCAATGTTTCGTTCGAAATAATACTTTTGTAGATTTGTCACGGCCTGCACGAAAGGTTCGACGTCGAGGTTGTTATACCAGACCAGAAAATCTCGAAACGATGTCATATTTTTTTCCTCCCACACGTTCTTACAAAAGGCGTATTCTTCGATCGTTATATTTGAATCTTTCAAAGACGAATAAAAAGCTTCGTGTGGAGGAAGTTCAGGGAATTTAATTTTTCAACAGAGTCTAGAAATTGGTAGGGAAAAAAACCTTTACATTCTTGTACATCGAAAGCACGTAAAAACCCTGCATAATTGATGCCGGGACTCAGATAATGTGTAATATCTAAAAATTTAAACTTACGAGTACTTATGCAGGCATAAGCATTATTTCTCTTGACGGTGAATGTGCCATTTGTCGAATCTAGCTCGAGATGTTTGATGAGATAGCTTTTGATCAAATTGATGTCATATTTTGCAGAATTAAAGCCGATACATATGATCTGCTCGCAATATTCTTCCATTTCCAATCTTAGTTCTTCGGCGTATTGTTTTTCCTCATCCACCATTTTTTGGACATCGTCTTCATGTTCGAGGTACTCGGCCATGTTCTCATCCATATTTTCATCAAACACAGAGCTATCGAGTGCCTCGAACACGTAGGCAAATTTTTCTTTTGCTTGTTCAGCAGCCCTATTAGCTATCATTGTCATGCACTGAACCATGTTCTTCACTAGTGTGTTGATATCTGGTTCAATGATACAATGTGGTTTGGTGTACTCATCTACGTTAGAACATATACTAACAGAGATAGGTACATGGGTGTCTGTATATTGCTGAGAACCAGAACTTTCTGTGTTCATGGGAACCAGCATGGACTCAAAGTCATACACTAGAAACCACTCGAAAATTCTTTCGTTTTCGGGAACACTTATGCCAAATTGGTTTAATTTATCAAACACAGTATTTTGAGAATAATGAAACCCTCCCTGAAATCTTCTCTTTGTTTTTCCCGAACAAACACGCTGATGTCGTTTCATATTTTTCAGATGATTGAAATGGCGACGACATGTTTTGCACAGAAATTTTTTGGCATAAGCATTAAAATTCGAGATGTAAGACAGATGGTGCTCGTAAAGATTTAAATAAATGGTGTCCGAGAATTTACACATGGATTTGTAGATAGACTGTGCCGATTGACTTTCATTCAATGAAAAGACATTAACATTGATTCTGAAGCATTTTTCAAAATAGATTATTTCGTTCAAAGTGATACCCGGGAATGTTTTAGGATTCGCATCCACTTCTCTTTGGTGAGCTTTTTGAAATGAGACCCAATGTTGAAATAAAATATTTGTGCGAGATTCTAAGCCCGAGGGATAATACTCTTGATAAACCGCTAAACAGCGGAACGCACAAAGATTATCTGTATATCCTTGACCATTCCTGTCCTTGGTCAGCTTAATAATAGATTTTGATTGACTAATGTGAGGAGGTAAAATTACTTCCGCATTTCCCAAAACAAAATTCAAGTGATATATGACAATGCGAACATTGGTTATTAAATAAGGTTTCCATTTTGTGTCGGGGCGTTGACGTAGTATGTAATCAGTAATGTTAAGTCGTTGCATTCGCTGCTGCAAACGTTTTAAATGTTCGCGCCGCGACACGTAAATGGGTCTCTGAAAAACTTCCTGATTATGATGGGGTTTAAAATATCTAAATTCTTTTGTTTCGCTGTTAACCAATATGAGACCAAATTCTAAATTTAATCTGAAAGCTCTATTTTGACGATCGTATATTTCATTGGCTGCTTGCATTATTTCCCCAACAGAAAACTGATTATCTATGGGAAAGTTATAAATACTACAAACAGTCCCCTCTTGATGACGTCGTAATATAATTGGGGCATTCGTTTCATAAACTTCTTTTAAGTTGTGGTCGACTATCCCACCTTCTTCCCAAGGAGGGGATCCATTTCCCCATGGTCTGGCCTGCAACTGTCCCTCTCCCACTTGAAAATGTTCATTCATCTGATGAACAAAGAGATTACGACGCGAATCAAATTTGAGATGACAAGTTCTACATGTATATCTCTCAACGGGTTCCTGAAATACAAGCAAAAAACTTGAATTTTTTTTTATTTTTTTAGATAAACAAATTGGAAAATGAAAAAAAAATACGCAATCATCATTGAAATCATTTTTTTTTTTAATGAAATCAGCACTGTATTTTGATTTTCAGTGAATTTTTGAATAGGCCCCCATTTTATTTTAATTGTTTTGTAATAAAAAATATTCATTTAAAAATTCTCTGTAAATTATTCATGTTAATAGATATACCTCATTCTGCATTTCATCAGATCTGTTACTAGGTCCCGCAATATCTTGATAACTCTGTTAAACATATCAAATGAATCCTCTAAATTTTGATTAATTTCGAAAGATAAAAAAATAATCATTAAAGATTTCTTCGTGTATAAGCATAAGGAATTATTTGAAATTATTTTCTTAAATTACAAATAGCATGTGTTTTATATTAATAAATACCTCATGTTGAGTTTCATCAGATCTCTTACTAGGTCCCGGAAGATCTTAATTATTCTGTTTTAAAATAAATCAATGAATACTTAATTATCATAATTGGTTTTCTTCTTATACAAGCATAGAGAATTATTTGAAATTGTTTTCTTTAATATCAAGTAGAAAGATTTTAACTTAATAAATACCTCATGTTGAATTTCATCAGATCTATAACTAGCTGCTGGAATATCTTGATATTTCTGTTACACACACACAAAAAAAATACATTCAATAGTTTTTACTTCGGAAATAAAAGAGGGTGGGGATATAATTAAAATTTTAGATGTACATGTTTAAGAATATTGTGTTTGATTAAGATTTTCTCCGATCGTTTGTCTGATTTCATTTACTAGAAAATTGATTATATTTGTTCCTAACTATATAATCGCCATATTAATAAAAAATATTTTACGTATTTAATTCATTTCTAGAATTTATAGTCACAATTGTTAGATTGTTTATGACACTTGTTCAAATGTCTGAGTTCCTCTCTTGTTCTGTCTTTGTCATTATTGCTTCCTTTTTGAAGTACGGTATTCATAGGTTTAAAGTCAATTAAAAGTATTTTTTCTCTTATTGTAAAATAAAAAAAAGAACAACAAAAAAGAGTGTAATATGCCTTTTTTAAATGAATAAAATAATTATCTTGATTTTTATGTCTAAAACCAAGAATCGTAAATATTCTTTGCCAGTTTAGAATTACCACATTTATGAAATATGAAGCTATTATTTGGACAACCCCATCGTTTTTTAGTCGTGCATATTTAAGAATATTCTTAAACACGATCGCACTTCCGTGTTTTAATTTTTGTAAATAAGTCATACCTTGCATCTTCCTAGATGTTGCTGAAGAGTCTTTTCACACAAGTATTCTTTTTTGCACCTTTCACACTTCAACAACTTATCCCTGTGTTCTTTAAGTATATGGATACGTCGTTGAATGGATGTTTTGAAACATTTCTCGCAATGGGAACACGTTTTACTCTTCTCACATGTCTTCAAATGACGTTCGAAATTGTCTTTTCGATTTACTTCTTTTCCACAAAAATTACATTTCAATTTCACTTTGTTTGAATGTATGTCCAAATGACGTTTTCTTGCAAATTCACTGCTAAATGTCTTGTTGCAGTGAGGACAAGGATGCTCCATCGCTAAAATTTGTCAATAACATTTGTTCTCCGAATTTGTTTAAACATATTTTAACGTTCGTTATATATATAACCAAGTAAATTCTGTATCACTAGTTTCTCTTCTTATGTGTTTCTGCTCATTTAATATTTTAAATTACATGTATATATCATTATTAACGGAAACTGACAACTAACTGATCCTTGTTTGTGTAATATGTTATAATGCAGTACCGGAATAGCTTTACTTCGGAAAATAACAACGGATCTGAGTAAAGGAAATTTATTTGTAAATACAAATCCTTAAACATATTTGACTACATGATTTTAAATTTGACTAACTTGTGAATCAAGTCAACTTTTTTTTCTTTGTCCAGTTGCAATTTTTCGTATTTACTACTCTCCAATCATGTTAATAATCTCGGCAGTTGTAGTTGTATTGTTCTTCCTCCACTTACCTTCCCAGTTCACTTTAATATACTTTGATACATAAATATAATACGTCAAATTTTGTGTCTCTCATGATGACAGAGTTTAATACTGTTTAGTATTAGTTTATATCTCTCCAAATCCAATTTTTCCGTGTCTTTTTATTTGAATATTTCTTCTCTAAAATTTATTAAATGGCTATTTCTTAAGCAAATAGAGGTTTCACTTCAGCATGTTAATCATGTTTTAAGATCTTGTAATAGACGTTTGTCTTGACTCAAAATTAGGCCTCATATAATTAAAATTTCTCGTTTCATTTGTATGGTCTTAACACTAAAAAGAAACCGTTCGTATAAAAAAAATACTTTGATGAAAAAAAGGTTATATACTTCTCATTTCAATAAATCAGTGATTGTTATAGTAGTTTCCCACTTCTCCGTGTCTCTTTTTTTATTTCTTCTCTTCAATTTTAATAAATGACTAGTTCGTGAACAATTAGAGGTTTCATTTTCAACTTGTTTATCATTTTTCAAGGTTTTGTTAAAAAACTTGTGTTTTATTTCAGGCCGCATGTTTAAAATTCCTCGTCTCATTTGTTTGTATTGGACAAACCGTTCTATCAAACCCAGTTTTATGAATCAAAGCAATATATATCTAATTCACACAATTTAGGATCCTAATACACTATTGTCGTAGTTAGTTTCAAGTCGTCATAACATTAATATATTCATAGGACTAAACGTATGTGTATTAGCTAATCAGAAGTAAAAATCATCCGGGTTTGCTTCCCTATAAATACATATAGTCATTATTAGCATCCGGATTTGCTTTATACTTCCGCCTTTAGAGTCCACCTCTCCACCTCAGATCAGTTTGCACCTCAAATTAGCATAAAAAGTCTCACTCTATACTACTGATCTAGAGGGAGTTGGGGGGGGGGGGTTAACATCCGCGGAGAGTGATCGAGGAACCCCACTTATCAATTGCTTCTTTTATTAAAGTAAAAACTATCTCTAGTTACAGATAAGTTTAAACTTTAGTTTTATATTTAATTGTAAAAACTTCCACCAGAATTCGCCTGTGTATCAAACTAAGTGTGGAGACGCAGATGTACCTGTATTATGTATTGAAGAAAATCCTGCTATGTCGCATGCAAATGTTTTATGTCGCAGGTATAAATATAAGATATTTTAATAATAGATCAAGCATTTCAGTTTTAATGGAATTTTTTGTGCTTGATTGTTGTTTGTAATCTCATTTTCATTCCTTTTCTAATTTCTTTTTGAAAGGACCGATAAATTGGTTTGCGGCCGATTTTTGACGCTTGCATCAATAGGTTTCATGGAGTTTTTAATCTGACAAGGATCGATGAATAAACAAATGCATAGTATTTTTATATGTAGGAATATTAACAGTCTAGTTTTGAATTGTTTATTTGATATTATGTATAATTTCAGGAAACACATGAAAATAGATTTACACTTTCTACAAGCGGTTTGAGTGTTTGGGGTACCCTCACATTAGATAAGAGAGAAACAAACGGCAACTCTGATATTGAGATCAAAATGCATTTGTAACGTTTGACCCTTGGGTACAACCCAAATCTTGGTTCATAGGATTTACATGATTTATCACATAATATCCTAATTAATAATTAAAAATCATATCTTCTGAAATAAGTTGTCTTATTGTCATATCGTTGATCCTTATTTGCATTTGATACTTGTGTTTTACCTCTTTCACATCCCAAACTTTAATTATTTTTTATATACAAGATTACATGTATTTCTGATCATTGGTATTCATGTCAATTTTTTTTAACCTACATCATTGGTAAAGTGATTGTTTTAACTGAAAAGCAGAAATCATAGTTATATATTTATAACTTTTCTCTACGTAATTTGTAATCATGTCTCATTGTTAATGATTGTTTTAAACAGATAAACTGAAAAGGACAACCATTTCCACTGGTATACGAGTAAAGAAAGACATTTTTTGGGTTAATCTGTCATATGATAAAATACTACATTTAATAATTCCAGAAATATTGGTTGTCAAATTTGTCAAGATATATCTTTGTTATTGTAAGCAATACTCCAGTTCTCCAAAAACAATTTAAACTTGTGAAATAGCAAGTCTTATGAACTTGATTGTTCTGTTTACATAAAGTAAGAAAGTATATTTTATTCCACTCAGAAAATTGTGTTCTGGCACGAACATTTATTGCATGTTAATGAAGTTGTATTACTTAAAGAAAATTCTGTGTTGCTTTCAAGCTAGGTCACCCCATTTTGTATCACAAAGGTTTAAGACAAACTGTACTATATTATGTTGTTCATGTCCAATTACCTGGCTGCTTCTTTTTCCATGTTAGCTCATATCATAACATTATTACAATAAGGCCGAGAAATTTTGATTTTGGTAGCTGTTACATGTCATAATTATGTTAACAGTAGGTCTCTGTGACCTATAAATAAGATATCTTGAAATATGGAGACTCCTGACAGGCTGAGGCCTAGTGCTGAATCCAGAAATTCTGAAATAGGGGGACCAGTTTGAGGTCAGGGAAGGGGCCCACAGCCACAATTAAAACACTCATTTATCAAATATTGCGTATTTTTTGGACTCAAAAGGGAGGGGGCCAGGGGCCCCTTTTAATTCCGCCAGTGGGCTCATGACTAGAACATACTAAACCTACATTCATCAAACCGGGCCTGGGGGCATACAACTTAGACAAGCTCACTTTTGATCTCAGTCTCACTTTTCCACTATATATTCCTTAAGTGAGACTGGGATAAAAAGTTAGCCCGTCTAAGTTTTATGTCAACCAGGCCTAGTCAATTACTGTTTCTTACTTTGAAAGGTTTAATATTGAAAGTATCTCATCTAAATAACAGTGAACTTTAATCAAGGCGAAGTTTACATTACAAAGATGAAATTATAATATCCCAAAAACCTCATGAATATTGGAGTATCCTTTGAAAAAAATGTTGAATTGAAAAAAAAACTACACATTATTTCTCATAATATTCTTTACAGCAATGTATGACATATATATTTCTTTTGTGTTCTCTCATACATGAAGCCTCCGTCTAACAGTACTTTCAGTACTTTGATTTTATCTGAAACAGAAAACTTAACAAGTGGAGATAATGAACATTATTCAAGATCAAAAGTCCATTAAACCATGATTAAACAATACTAAATTGGAGCAGAACAAACATGGACCTCCAAATATCAGAGGTGAGATCAGGTGCATGCTATAGAGAAGTGAGCATTGTATGTGATACATTTTTTATCAGTTACCATTTTCAACTTCATATACACAAAATGAAACATGGGAGATAACGAACAGTATTCAGTTCAAAAGTCCATTAAACAATACAGAATTGGAGAAGAGCACACAGACCTGACCTCCAAAATATCAGAAGTGGGATCAAGTACCATGGAGGAATAAGCATCCCCTGCTGACCAGTCACACGTGTCACACGTGCCATGTGTTCTTTGATATGATCGGGAAATAACGAAAAAAAATTCCTCGGCAAATCAGTTTTCATATAATGGCCTAATGATCAGTATGAAAAACACCAGTTAATATTTTGCAATTTGATTGGCACACCTGATTCTTACTTGGATATTTTACTTTAAAAATCTAGCAACCAAGCTCTATACACAAGAGCATGCTCTACGCATGAACACTTTCTAAATCGAAGTAAATTATTGATAAAGAAGTTGATAAAAGAAGAACATCATCAGTCTCTTTTAAAGTCATCAGTTCTATGGTTGATACAATGACCATGTCAGCAAATACAATCTATCTTTAGTCAAATGCTAACTGACATTTTTCATACTAATTGTTAGTTCATTATTTATACACTGAATTGACGACGGATTTTTACAAGGAGCACACGGAGTGTGTGACTGGTCAGCAGGGAATGCTCACTCCTCCGTGACACCTGATACCACTTCTGATGTTTTGGAGGTCCGTGTTTGCTCTGCTCCTTTTTTGTATTGTTTTATGGACTTTGAGATTGAATACTGTTTGTTATCTCCATATTCTTCATTTGGTAAGTACATGTATTTACATTTCCCTTTTAGCAGAGTAAACTACATCAATATCATTTAATTTACCAATAAGTTTCCTTTAACATTATACATGTACATATGATGGGCAGTTGATAAGACATCCTAAGTACTAAGAGACATAAACTCCATATACTGATGGTATATTATGTAAATATATTAATATCGGCCGCGCCTCTGTTGACAATGGTTTTCTTGGGGTGAAAATTTTCAATGTTACACTCAACTACATGCAATATTTATTACAGAGTTTGATTTTGGTAATCTCTTATCTTTTTATACCTTTAAAATTATTTCATTCATACTTGACGTCACTTTACGCCGGTAAAGGACTGCAAATCTAGACTTATGGTCGACACTTATTATTCGTTTGAAACTTTTTAACATATCGACTTCATAATTGTAATAAAAAGGATGATTATATAGCATGAATCATGTGAATGGTTACATCAAATTTTTTTAAAAAGTATCAATTAAAGACCTTGTGAACACAGTCAACGCAGCATTTTCTTTTATTAAATACCCGTCTACCTGTTCAAGCAAATCACAACAACAACAAAAATCAACCAATTTGGTGAACTTCGATTATTTTTACTTTCGATTTTGATTCATTTTTTTTTTTGGCATGAATAATTTGACTATAATATTGTAGTAATAATTAGATCAATGAATGTGACTTAATGA